CATACGCCCATGCTGAAGTTTGACCAAATTAGAGGGGAAGGGTGATGGTATATTTATAAAATGACTAGAATGATAGATCTTGGAATCCACATCTGATAAGGAGAGAAGTAAAGACAGGAATACCTTATAAAGAAAAAGTAAGGGACAGTAAATGAACCAAGGTTTTGATAAAATTCAAGAACTAATGCAGGGACTTCTGTTTAAAACGACTAAACTAACTGATTGAACACAGCTGTCTGCTCTCTGGTCCTTCCAAAAATTCACTAAATATCAGAGTAAAGATCTTTTTTAAAACAGGCAAAAACCCACAAGGACAAAGAGAATGGAAACAGATGACGGTTATCAACAGAACTGTGGAAACTGGAAAGCTAAAGGATAGTGTTAACTGTCTAAACAGAACCGAAACGGCTGAAATTTGCCTTTTTGTGGGGGGAAGGGAGAATGAGATGAGAATGAGGAAGGCAAGGGATCAACTATTCCCATTGCAACACCCAGGAAGGCTTGGGGAATTGGAAGCACAGGTAATCTGAAGGCAAACGCACAGGCGGAACAGAAAATAAAGGAGTAGAACTGGTTGTGGTGGTATGTGCCTGTAATTTCAGCTACTAATGAGGCTGAGGAAAGAGGATTGCCTGAGACTAAGAGTTTGGGGTCCAACCTGGCAATATATCGAGACCCCATCTCTTCTTTAAAAAAAAAGCATGGGGTGGGGGGGAATATGCCAGTGATGCAGTCTTAAAAAAAAAAAAAAAAGAAAAAAGTTTAAATAAATAAAAGGGTCAAAATCTGTGTAAGAAGCAGTAGGCTCCTAAATTTCCTCCCTGACTCTGAGCAACCAGGCTACTACTCTCCCACCATAACAGAAGATTCAAGGTTTACTATGGAAAGTTTGATGTAGAAGGTCTCTGGACTCTTGGACAACAGACTCAGCTAAAGACAGGAGTATCACGCTGAAAACAAGAGATTGTAAAACCTACATACTTAGTAGTGAGATCCATCCCCTGGTTTCATTCCCTGACCTGGCTTTAGAACACTGGCAGTCTAGCTTATAACCCCCAGACTAACTAGAGAACTGAAGATAAAAGCAGCCCAAGAAAAACAGACCAACAGAAAAGCAATGAGAGAAAGGATGAAGGTTTCCTTTTCAATTATCCATTAAATGGAAGAGTAACCCAAGAAAACATCATGGAATCCAAGAATCAGTGGATCCAGCACAACAAAGAGGCAAAAGGAATTCCCTAGAATTATCCAACAGACCTAGAGAACTAGGCCAGATTGGAGCAGAGAGATGGGGGGCTCTCAGGACAGATATTTCCTTCAGCCAAAAAAGAAAACAAATCACCAGTCTGAACAAAAGGATATTTACACTACTGAGATTTGGAGATGAATTATTGTGGATATATAGAAAACAAAATGTAAAAAAAAAAAAAAAAAAAAAGGTATCTGATTACCACCAGAAAAAAAAAAAGGTTGTACAAAATTTTGTTTTAAAAATAAGACTTAAATATTATTAAAATCACATAAAGATTTCAAAAAAAAAAAAAAAAAAAACTAGGTGACGCTGAGATTCTTGAGCCAGCAAATGGGAAAACAGTGGCTTAGGATCAGAGCAGAATGTCTGACTGAATCAGTGATTTGGAGGTGTGGTGACTTTTTTTTTTGACAATCTCACTCTGTTACCCAGGCTGGAGCGCAGTAGCAAAATCATAGCTCACTCAGTCTTGAACTCTTGGGCTCAAGAGATCCTCCGAGTAGCTAGGACTATAGGCTAATGCCACCAGACCCAACTAATTTTCCTATTTTTTTTTTCATAGAGATGAGGTCTCTATGTTGCCCAGTCTGTTCTTGAACTCCTGGCCTCAAGGGATCCTCCGCCTTGGCCTCCCAAAGTGCTGGGATTACACGCATGAGCCAATGGGCCTGCTCTGGCTGATGACTTTTTTTTTTTTTTTTTTTGAGATGAAGTAGAGCTCTGTGGCCCAGGCTGGGGTGCAATGGTGTGATCTCTGCTCACTACAACCTCTACCACCTGGGTTCAAGAGATTCTCCTGCCTCAACCTCCTGAGTAGCTGGGCGTGGTGGAGCTGGCCAACATGGTATAAACCCGCTTCTACTAAAAATACAAAAAAAAAAAAAAAATTTTTGTATTTTTAGTAGAAACAGGTTTCTACCATGTTGGCCAGGCTAGTCTCGAACTCCTGACCTCAAGCAATCCATCCACCTCAGCCTCCCAAAGTGTTGGGATTACAGGTGTGAGCCACTCTGCTCATCCTGGGTGGTAGCTTTTTAGTAAAGACAAGATCCAGGGTGTGATTCTGTGACTTGGTGGCTGAAGAGAATGAAGAGGTAAAGGAATCAAAAGGCCAAAGTGTTAGCTGAACTGTCAATCCAGATGCCAAAGTTACCCAAACATGATGTATGACTGCTGGATATTTTCCAGCTCCACTTTTCCACCCTCCTCTATCATGTGGTCTGCTCCAATAGGCTGACCTGTATAGCCTTGACCAAGAGGTCACTGTGTCCTCTGGCTTCCAGTTGGGTTTGGCCAATGGGGAATCTCAGCAAGAAATTAAGAGAACAAGGTCAGGATATTCATTCCTCCAGCTTCATTCCCTCAAGGTCACCTGAAACTAGCCATCCCTTTGGCCAAAAGTCACCATTCCTCTCAAGGCAGCTAACTCCATACTTTTCAAGTAACTACTCACTCTCTTAGGGGACGTTAACAGTTCAGCTACAGGTTACCAAACTATTTCCTGTTGAACCACCATACCTAAATCTTTATAATAGTACCTTTATAAAATAAACTCAAATTATCCTGTCAAGTGTGCCATCAGTTCCAGTCTGGACTCTATTAACTGTGATGGTGAAGATGAGGTAAGGCTGTAACAGAGTAGTGGAAAGTATGGAGAGAAAAGTGATAACATTTAAATAACTACTGCTAACATTTTAATCTCTATCTATGTTCCAAGAACTTTTCTAAGCTCTTTGCAGGTATTAACTCATTTAATCACAACTACCCTCTATGGTAGGCAGAGATCTTTGTCTGGTTAATTTCCAAATCCATACACCCAGCACAGTTGCTGGCACATGGTAAGCACTCAAATATTGATTTAAAATACACACAACAAGCAGGTTTAATTAGAAAGAGATGACTTTTGAAGCATAGCATAGGAGTATTTATACTTTAGAAATATACATAAATAGGAATATCTATACTTTAGAAAACTATACGAAGACCAGGGAATTGTGACTTCCTAGAAATCACAGAAACACCAAATGAGACCATATGTGAATGATTTTCTTGGGTAGCCTACAGTGAGTCTTATTCCTTTATTTTCTGATGAGGTAAACCAGGACATGGGCGCCAATTTTTTAAGTTTAATATTCAAAGTCAAAGTTATGGCCAGGCAAGGTGGCTAATACCTGTAATCCCAGCACTTTGGAGGCAGAGACAGAGATCACCTGAGGTCAGGAGTTCGAGATCAGCCTGGCCAACATGATGAAACCCCATCTCTACTAAAAAATAAAAAAATTAGCTGGATGTGGTGGCGGATGCCTGTAATCCCAGCTACTTGGGAGGCTGAGGCAGGAGAATCAGTTGAACTTGGGAGGCAAAGGCTTCAGTGAACCAAAATCTCACCACTCCACTCCAGCCTGGGCAAAAGAGCCAGACTCTGTCTCAAAAAATAAATAAATTAATAATTAGTCAGGCGTCCTGGTGGGCACCTGTAATCTCAGCTACTAGGGAGCCTGAGGCAGGAGAATGGCTTTAACCTGGGAGGAGGTTGCAGTGAGCCAAAATTGCACCACTGCACTCCAGCCTGGGCGACAGAGTGAAACTCTGTCTCAAAAACAAAAACAAAAACAAACAAACAAAAGCCAAAGTTGCTCCATACCAAGACCAGATTTTTAAAAAGTCAAAGTTGCAAATGCGCTTGCAGCCTAGGGGCTGATTAAATAAGGAAGAACACCTTTAAATATCACCTTAGTTAAAATAAAGGTAAGGGGGGAGGCAAAAAAATATGCTTGTGAGTATAAAATGCAAAAATAAAGGTAAAGGTGAGTATTTTGTCAAGTCTGTAAAAATGCCTCTTTAGTTTTCAAAGTACTTAACCATTTTTAAAGTACATCCTACTTTAGGACCTACCTCAGCCAGATCACCAAGTATACACATTCACACAGAAATGAAGCACAGCAAAGGTGTGAAAATTAGGGGAGGAAGCATAAAACATGAATCAAATAATTCGGAAATACAATACATATAAGCTACAATTAAATATCTCACTGGATGCACCTACAGTTATATGGAATCATCAAAGCAGCAGTGATACCCGTCTTATAAATAAAAACCTAAAAGCCAGAGAAATAACAAGGTTAGAGGATTAATAAGAAACAAAATGAGAACTCTAAAGATTTTCTGAAAGCAGAATTAATATTTTTTCATTATATTATGTTGCCACTCCAAAGCAAGGGGGAAATTCGCATGAGTAAGAATCTAGAAACCTGAGAAGTTTCGAGAAGAGCAGACTCAAACTGGAGTGAAAACAGGCAAAAAGAATAAGGCAGAAGGCTACGACTAGGAGGAAATTGCCAGATGCAGTTCTGGGACACGGAGGGGAGACGAATAAAGCCTTCTTAAGCGGAAGGTGGAGAAACACTGGGATTGGATTTAGTGGGAAGACAAAACGGAAAAGCACGGCCCAAGAAGCAACAGCAAAGGGAGAACTTAAACAGGACTAGATCGATGCCGCAAATCGAGAAGTAGAAGACCTACAAATCAGATTCTACCGGGTGGGGAAAGGTCGAAAAGGCGACCGATCAGGAGCGACTAGTTTCCGAAAAGCGGCAACGATATAGCTTCGCAGCCCCACCCCACGGCTGCAGCTCCTCCCCAAGGAGGACCTCCTGAGGCCAACCGCCCGGCTCAGGCTCTCCCCAGGAGCCTAGGTTCCACCCCGGCCCGGCCCCGCGGCACAGAACTGCCTCTCCGGGCCCCTCACCGAACGCTGCAGCTCCCCAAGCCAAAACGAGGCGCGCTCCTTTCCGCTGGGATCTGGGTCGTGGTAAAGCGCCTGCACTGCCTGGTACACGAGCTGCAATGTCGGCTTTGCTCCTTCCATGGTGGTGGCGGCAGTGGCGGTAGCGACGGCTCTGATTCTTCTTCTGAGGCTTCCCCGGTTGCTCCTCCTTCGAGCTTCCTCACTGTCTGGGCCACGGCCGCTCCCTGACTGGCGCCATCTCCTCCTCTTTGGCCGTTACCAGGGCAGAAGGTTCCCCATGGAAGTTGCCCCTCGGAAACAGATATTATGTCGTATTCAGGTTCCTGGCCTTTATTCCCGTTTTTCCAGTAGACTCTAGACTTCTGAGTCCAGATTCTGGTGCTCACCTCTTCACTCGCTGACTTGCCGTCAGAAGCCCATCTTCGCACGCCACACACCACAGAGTGTACTTAAGGCGCGTGTACCCGGACCGGAAGCGGCAGCACCGACACCTTTGGCACACTTCCGCCTGGTGCACTACAAACGGCCTCCTTCCCGGCACGCCTCCTCTTGTCTTCCGCCCCCCTCCCGGAAGTGACCCTGTTGGGCCAGGAGCCGGCGAGAAGTGCTAGCGTTGTTGTCTGGATTTCTCGCTTCCAGCTTGGGGCTATAGCACCGACATGTATACCATATCTCAGCTGCTTTCAGCTCCTTGGAAATAAAGCCGGCTCTTTCCTCCCTCTTCCGACTTCCCCATCCCTCTCCAGAGAATCCTTTTCTGCCCTGGTGGTCAAGGCGCGTCAATTCAACTCTCCGTAGAGTGGCCACAGTACTAGAGATCCAAAGATGACTTAAGACGTAGTTCCTACGCTGGCTCTAGTGAAGGAGACAGACACGTAGTCAACGGAACTGTTTTACAAACCTGAAATATGTGCCGCATAGAGAAATGCCTAGAATATCTGTTCAGCTCCGCTTTATTAAGTCTTAAGCCCTAAAGAGGTCTTTCGTTCTGCTTACAGTTCCTGGTGCTCTAACTCCAGAGCATTTTGCATACATCTTGTAGGGTTATTCTCACATTAAACTGTATTTTTGTGAATGCCTTTCTGTCGGAATCCAAAACCAGTGGTCTAACAATTCACAAAAGAAAATAGAAATCTTGGAAACTGCTATGGAGAAACTGGAGACAAAAGGTAACTGTATGTGCACTAGTAAATAACTGCTATTTGATAAATGCTCACAGTGTGTAAAACACTAGTTACAAGATCTCATTTAATCCCCCTAACAGCCTTACCAAGTATTAATAAAACCTGTTTTAGGCACTGACACTGACCATGGCTCCAGCGCCATGGTGCCCTCCAGGAAGTTCTCCGTGGGGAGAAACTGGAAGATGAACGGACAGAAGAAGTGTCTGAGGGAGCTCATCAGCCTTCAGAACTCGGCCGCAGTGCTTGCCGACACTGAGGTAATTTGTACTCCCCCCACTGCCTATATCGACTTTGCCTGGCAGAAGCTAGATCTCAAGATTGCTGTGGCTGCCCAGACTGCTACAAAGTGACTAATGGGGCCATTACTGGGGAGATCAACCCTGGTATGATCAAAGACTGCAGAGGCACATGGATGGTCTGGTCCTGGGGCACTCAGAGAGAAGGCATGTCTTGGGGGAGTCAGATGAGCTGACTGGGCAGAGAGTGGCCCGTGCTCTGGCAGAGGGTAATCGCCTGTGGTGGAAAGAAGCTAGATGAAAAGGAAGCTGGCATCACTGAGAAGGTTGTTTTCCAGAAGACAGAGTCATCACAGATAATGTGAAGGACTGGAGCAAGATCATCCTGGTCTATGAACCTGTGTGGGCCACTAGTACGGGCGAGACTGCAACACCCCAACAGGCCCAGGAAGTACATGAGAAGATCGAGGATGGCTTAAGTCCAAAGTCTCTGATATGGTGGCTCAAAGAACTGGTATCATTTATGGAGGCTCTGTGACCAGGGCAACCTGCAAGGAGCTGGCCAGACAGCCTGGCATGGATGGCCTCCTCAGGGGTGGTGCTTCCCTCATGCCAGAATGTCCAGAATTCGTGGACATCAGCAATGCCAAACAATGAGAACCATCCATCTTTCCTACCCTTCCTGCCAAGCTAGGGACTAAGCAGCCCAGAAGCCCAGTAACTGCCCCTGCCCTGCATAAGCTACTGCTGGTATCATCTGTCCCCTCTTATGGCCTCATCCAAACTGTATCTTTCTTTACAATTTATACCTTCACCCTGTGATGGTTGGAACCAGGCCAATCCCTTCTCCACTTACTCTAATGGTTGGAACTAAATGTCACCAAGGTGACATCTACTTGGCTGAGAGGTGGAAGGGGTATGGGTCCCCTGGGCCCTAGTGAGGGGATGAGAGAGAAATCATCCTCTCCCTTCTTACATTGTGAAGCTATGGGTGCTGCCCTCTCCCACCATGCCAACACCTGTGTGTACTGTGTGTATTGTGTATGTGAGCCACCTCACATGTGAGGGAATAATCACCTGGCACTTAAAAAACAAAAAAAAAAAACACCATTTTAAAGAAAGAGAAATAGGTAATGTAATTTGCCCAAAGATACAGTTCATAAATGAAAATTAGGATTTGAATCCAGATCAGTGTTGCTTCAAAAGCTGTTAAATCACACGATCCCTATCATCTTGTGTGTTAATTTGCTTCTGAATTGTTAGTCAAGGAATCTTTAACTGCCAATACCATAATGAAAACAATGTTACTGCACAGAGTTGATATCTTTAGACACAGAAGAGAAACTTGATATTTTAGTTACCAAATCAATTCATTCATAAAAAAAAAAGATTTAGTGCTGGGATTGATGGCTCACAACTGTAATCCCAGCATTTTGGGAGGCTGAAGCAAGAGGATTGCCTGAGGCCAGGAGTTCAAGACCAGTCTGCCTGGGCAACAAAATGAGACCCCATCTCTACAAAGAAATACAAAAAAATTAGTGGGGGTGTGGTGGTGGGTGCCTGTAATCCCAGCTACTTGGGAGGCTGAGGTAGAAGTATTGCTTTAGCCCAGGAGGTGGGGGTTGCTGTGAGCAGAGATTGTGCCATTGCACTCCAGCCTGGGAAACAGAGTGAGACCATATCTCAAAACAGATTTTTTTGTGGGTATCAAAGGACACTATCAAGAAAGTGAAGTGATAGTTCACAACAGGGAGGGAATGTGCAAATCACATATCTAATAACTGATTAGTATCCAGAATATATAAAGAACTCTTACAGTTCAACAATGAAAAGACAACTCAGTTTTTTGGGTTTTGTGTGTGTGTGTGTTTTGTTTTGTTGTTTTGAGATGGATTGTCACTCTGTTGCCCAGCCTAGAGTACGATGACACAATCTCAGCTCACTCCAACCCCCACCTCCTGGGTTCAAGTGCTTCTCAGGCCTCAGCCTCCTGCATTGCTGGGATTACAGGCACCCACAATCACACCCAGCTGATTCTTGTATTTTTAGTAGAGATGGGGTTGCACCATGTTGGCCAGGCTGGTCTCAAACTCCTGACCGCAAGTGATCCACCCGCCTTGGCCTCCCAAAATGCTGGGATTACAGGTGTGAGCCACTGTGCCTGACCAAAACTAATTTTTAAAAGTTCTATGGGCTGGGTTCTTCGGAGGCTGAGGCAGGAGAATCGCTTGAACCCGAAAGGCAGAGGTTGCTATGAGCCAAAATTGTGCCACTGCACTTTAGCCTAGGCGACAGAGCAAGACTCTGTCTCAAAAAAAAAAAAAGTTCTATGGTTAGGAATTATTAAAACACCACTTGGATATTTAGCTAACAGTTGGGGGAGGAGGAGGAAGATAGAGGTGATACCTAACCCAGAGTAGAGAGATTGGGAACACCATCTGGAGAAATGTCTGCGCTGAGACCAGACTGACGGATAAATAGGAAGCAATTAGGCAAAGGGTTAAATATGGTAGGCAGAAGCAGCAATATGAAAACCTAGAGGCAAGGGGAAAAATTACGTTCTGAAGACTGAAACTAGCTGAAGCATAGAGTTGGCGTAGGAGTAAGAAATGAAGCTAAACAGTGTTTTACCCATCTTTGTGACCTCCCACCATTACCTGATACATAGTGGGTGCTTAGCAAATGTCTTAAGGAACGCGTTTCTTAGTTCCTTAGTCTTAAAAAAAAAAAAAAAAAACTTGTCTAGCTTCAACATGAAATGGCTTGAGCTGGGAAGGTGGCAAGAACAGAAATAAGAAATGATTGTAATAATCGTGGTGAGGAGTGACCGCAGCCTGGAGTAAAGTGTTGGCGGTGGGCATGGAGATACAGAGGTACTTATGAACTTAGGGGGACGAATCTTGAAATGGTGATTATTTGAGCTGCAAGGTATGACCAGAGGGAAGAGAACCCAGGCTTTTGAGATACGGAACCTAAAGGAAGAAACAGCTTTTATGGAAATAGGGAATGATATGAGGATGAAGCTTTCAAGACCAGGCTGACCAACATGGTGAAACCCTGTCTCTACTAAAAATACAAAAATTAGCCAGGTGTGGTGGTGTGCGCCTATAATTCCAGCTACTCAAAAGGCTTAAGCAGGAGAATCACTTGAACCCAGGAGGCGGAGATTGTGGTGAGCCAAGATCACGGCACTGTGCTCCAGCCTGGGCAACAGAGCAAGATTCTGTTCCCCCCCAGCAGAAAAAGAAAAAAAAAGCTTTGATCTGCCATGAGACCATGATTTGTGGTGAACTTCAAGATACAGTAATAAGCATAGGTTGTGGCCCTATAGAGTCCTCATCAATTCTCTTCTCTCCCTTTGACACCCACCCCACCTCACCCCACATCATCCTTCAACCTCAGGGTTAAGTGAGCCACTGCACTCTGGGGAGAAGTTATAAAGGGAGTGTGGCACAGGCCAGTGGTTTTACTTCAATACCCATCCTTTTCTTTCCTAGAGTTCTTTGAAGAAATATTCTTTTTTTCTTAAGCTAATTCAAATTAAGTTTCTGTCACTTCCACCAAAAATTTTGAAGTCAAACTTCATCAAAATCTTAGTCAGCTTGACCTACCATAACAAAATACCAGCTTGAAGAAGAGAAATTTATTTTCTCACAGTGTCGGAGGCTGGAAATTCAAGATGAGGGTACCAGCCTGATCAGGTTCTACAGAGGGCCCTGTGTCTGACTTGCAGATGACCACTTCGTTGTTCCTCTTCTTGTAAGGCCACAGTCCTCTTGGATTAGGGCTCTACCTTATGACCTCATTTGACCTTAATTACCTCCTAAAGACATTATGTCTGGATACAGTCACATTGGGGGCTAGGGCATCAACATATGAATTTTGGGGGGACACAACTCAGTCCATAGCGTCTGCCATCATGCCCACTGGCCTTGGAGAGTTAGTAGAAGGCACTCATCCTTCTCCAGAAGAATCTGATAACATCAGTCTTCTTTGGCACACAGATTGTAGTAGAAGTTCAGGCAAAGCCATGCTGACTGCATCAGGGACAGAGATATGTTGATACATTATGCTTTACTGAAAGACAATACCTTGATCCTTTTGTAGTTGACGAGTA